CTCAATCATCTATTAACAAAGGTGCGGGTTTATTTAGGCACTTCCGTCAGTGAATACACAGCCTGCAAAACACTAAAATAAATATCAAAGAAATAATACAGTTAAACAAGAAAGTAGCCTAAATAAGAAAGTTAAATACACCTGTCTACCGGACGCGAGCTGCGCGGCGCGACAAAATACTATAAAACTCATTATAATCAGTGATGCTACACTGGATGCGTCACGACATGACAAATCCCCGACAGTAAACTGCCTCGTCCTATTTATGAGGTACTGACACAGAGTTCAAATGTCCTGTGTAGACAGTAGACAGACTCAACCTGTTGCTGTTCTGAGGGTTCCCGGACTGGAATGGTTCATGAGTGAACTCTGAAGGCTCCCGGACTGGAGTGGGTTCATGAGTGGACTCTGAAGGCTCCTGGACTGGAGCGGGTTCCTGAGTGGACTCTGAGGGCTGCTGGACTGGAGCGGGCTCTGGAGTGGACTCTGAGGGCTACCGGACTGGAGCAAGCTCTGGAGTGGACTCTGAGGGCTCCCGGACTGGAGCAGACTCTGGAGTGGACTCTAAGGGCTCCCGGACTGGAGCGGATTCTGCGGTGAACTCTGAATGCTCCCAGACTGGAGCATGCTCTGGAGTGGACTCTGAATGCTCCCATGCACGCAGAACAGTCCAGAGGCCAAAGGCAAAGACAGCCTTCTTGACTATGGCAGCAGCAGTGAAATTTGATTGCTCTGTGGTGACCTGAGACCACCAGAGTCCGGTCCGCCAGGACCTGGGCCCTCCAGGACCACAACACTCGGGACCACTGGAGTCGGGTCCTCCAGGATCACCGGACTCAGGGCCACCGGAGTCGGGTCCTCCAGGACCACCGGACTCGGGACCAGTGGAGTCGGGTCCTCCAGGACCACCGGACTTCTCACTCATCTAACACACCCAATTTAACTCGTCAGCTCGTGTTTATTTTAGCACTTCAGTCAGTGAATAACGCAGCCTGCAAAACACTAAAATAAATATCAAAGAAATAATACAGTTAAACAAGAAAGTAGCCTAAATAAGAAAGTTAAATACACCCTGTCTACCGGACGCGAGCTGCGCGGCGCGACAAAATACTATAAAACTCATTATAATCAGTGATGCTACACTGGATGCGGCACGACACGACATGACAAATCCCCGACAGTAAACTGCCTCGTCCTATTTATGAGGTACTGACACAGAGTTCAAATGTCCTGTGTAGACAGTAGACAGACTCAACCTGTTGCTGTTCTGAGGGTTCCCGGACTGGAATGGTTCATGAGTGAACTCTGAAGGCTCCCGGACTGGAGTGGGTTCATGAGTGGACTCTGAAGGCTCCCGGACTGGAGCAGCTCTGGAGTGGACTCTGAGGGCTCCCGGACTGGAGTGGGCTCTGGAGTGGACTCTGAGGTCTCTTGGACTGGTGAGGTTTCTGGATTGGATTCTAGGCTGAGGCCCTTGAGATACCAGCTGCTCTGGCCGAAATCAGCGGTGGGTCCGCCAAACTAGCGATCAGCCCCAAGTGTCTTTGCAATGCCTGATTGTGTTCAATTGCAAGGTTCACGATGACTGGGAACACAGGAGTGGCATAACAGGTTCTGATGTGGCAGCCAAAACAGCTGGAGGCTCAGGGGTGGCAGCCATCTTATGAAGAGACTCTGGGCTGGTGGTCATCTTGTAAAGAGGCTCTAGAACAACCTCCTCTGAAGCGGACTCTGGAGCTACTTCCTCTGGAGCAGGCTCAGGATTGACAGGAGTGGACCTTGCTGCCCTCCTCCTTCTCGACCTTTGCTCGAGTGTGGGAATCGATGAAGGGTCCAGGACTTGACTTGCCAAGGGAGGTGGGGATGGGACAGTCCCAGCAGGTAAAGTCTGGTGGTGGTATACTACCTTTCCCTCCTAGCGGAGCTGCGAGTACCTGGAGAATATCCATAAATCCAATGATGTTACCAGGTGTTTATCCAAGCAGAGGTTAAAATGTCCTTAATGTCTGCATCCTGACAACCCAGCCTGTCCGCCCTTGTCCAGAACTTCTGGGCGAAAGCCCACACCTCCATTCCCTTTTAGCAAAGTCTCTCCAGCTTTTGAAGTCAGACCTTTCCTTCAGGGAGCAGAATCTTGTCCCTTATGCTGCTGGATCAGTATTGGCTGTAGTATTCTGTCACAGAATACTCTGACTTTGCAAAAGATCCAAGTGCAGCTTTTAATAAGAGTCACATAAGGCAAAAGACTGAGACCACCAGCACAGGGTACTACAAAAAAACAGATATCAGCAAAGCCCACACAGAAACAGTGCAATACTACAGCACCCAATGCTAAGTGAACAGTGTATAAATAGGGGACCTAACAAGGCTTATGACACACAGCTGGAAACAATGAGACCTGATAGACAGAGTAAAGGGTGATGGGAAACGAAATCCACAAGCAATAGGCAATGATCTGGGTGGAGTGCCCTCTGGTGGCTGTCATGGGCACTCCAGCAGATGGCTGTTACAGAATCATGCTGATGAAAACATTCATACTCATCTTTATTTTTTTCTGATATTTCTGTAGATGTTCCAGTACATCGCCGCTCCTCCTGAATCTACAGACTTATGCAGCATCACTGTCAGTTCTTTCATCTCTTTTCATGATGTGGCAAATTTAGTCTCTCAACTGAAGGAAAAACTAGAGGGTTTCTGTAAAGAAGAGGTAGAAAAGATCTTTGATAGTGGTAAAGTATCTGTAGCAGACATTCATTTACTCTCAAAAATAGCTCTGGCATCATGCAAGTACATCATACTAAAACATACTCGTTTTTACATGAAAATTGTGCTAATTTTGTCTGTTTTCTATAGTAACATGCATTGATATGACTACCAATAAACCAATGAGGACCAGGGAACAGTTCCTTCAGTGTAAGGAATTATGAAGCACACATATATACTGTACACATGCAAAAGGCACATTGTCCAAAGCTTTATATTTTAACAAGCTGCCAAACAGGAGCAAAGCATTCAAAATGTTAACATTCTGTTATTATTTACTCATCCTCATGTTGTTGCAAACCCATATAACTTTTAATTTCTTCTGTAAAACTCAAAAGACCTACAGTACTAGGTAGAATGCCCAGGCTTCTTTTTGAAAAGAATGGGGTTTTGTAATTTATGAGTAAAATAAAGGTCTGTGGTAAATATAAACTGGCGATACTTGGATGTTTTGCTCTACAACATAAATTACACACACATTCACAAACAAACAAACATTAACCTAATTGTGTTTTATCTCCATTAGATTCCTGCCAGCTCACTCTGGATTCAAACACAATGAATCGATTCCTTCGCCTGTCTGAAGAGAACAGTGTGGCTACTTGCACCGACACACCCCAGCATTACCCTGCTCACCCAGACAGATTTGATGGCTGTGTGCAGGTGTTTTGTAAAGAGAGTGTGTGTGGACGCTATTATTGGGAGGTTGAGTGGAGTGGGAGAAAAAGTGTGTGTATATCAGTGTCATACAAGAGCATCAGCAGGAAGCAATTTTTTGGATTTAATAATCAGTGTTGGAGTTTGTTCTGCTCTTCCTCCAGTTACATATTCAGGCACAATAACATAAAGACTGAGCTCCCTGTGTCCTCCAGATCCTCTAGAATAGGAGTGTATGTGGATCACAGTGTAGGAATTCTGTCCTTCTACAGCGTCTCTGACACAATGAGGCGATAGTAGAATATTGTCAAATCATAAAATTAAAAAAAAATTGTTCTCCTATTAATATTTTGTTAAATACGAGATTGCTCAATTTGAGTGTATTGCTCATTTGGAAATAAAAACGATATTTTTATTTGATAAAAAAAGAGTTTGTCCACTCCGTCGTATTGGGCAATCCGCCCCTTTATAAAAAGGCCATCCCCTTTAGTGACATCAGGACAACAGATTTTTTGTCTCTTCAGTGGCGGGAATTTCAACGGATGAGGTGAATAAGTTAGTGACTTTTCAATTGACAAATTTTCTGAAAGGCTTTTTCTGGTCCCAAGACTGGTGGTTCTTGAGTCTGGTGATCCCGGTAAGCTTGGCTTTGGTCGTCCCAGATGTCCCTTGTTCAGCGATCCCAGCCTTGACTACCCCGGTGGTCTCGATTTAAGTGGTCCTGCCAGTTTCTGCCTCCATGAGTCCTTGCCATTCAAGTCATGAGCATGGAGGTCACCCAAAACAGCCTGGGCACTCTGTCATGGTCATTAAGATTACTCTTGAGCCACCTTTTCTCCCAGTCATGGCTATGGAGGCCATCTCAGAACTGCCTGCTCTCCCTGTTCTCGCTTCCATCCAGTAGCATCATATCGTAGTAGCATTGTATACTGACATGGCTTATGTTTGTAGTCTAGACAAGGGTTTTGTTTTTTACCCAGAAACTTTTTTTTTTTCATAAATCCAAACCATTTGTGGACTTTGTACTAAAATAAAGGCAAGCCACACCTTATAAACATGTTTTGCATACATTACCAAACACAGAACCAAGCATTATTACTTATTAACTCATGAGGAAACTGAAACTTAAGTGTCGTCAAGCTGTCCTATATGTGTCTCTATTTGTGTGTACATATAGTGAAATGGCAGAAGCCAGATTTTCTCAGGACCAGTTCAGCTGCTCAGTGTGTCTGGATCTCCTGAAGGATCCAGTGACTATTCCCTGTGGACACAGTTACTGTATGAGCTGTATTACAGACTGCTGGAAACAGAAGAGAGTCTACAGATGCCCTCAGTGCAGACACACCTTCACTTCAAGACCTGCTTTATGTAAGAATGTCATAATTGCTGAAATGGTGGAGAAACTGAAGGCGACAGACTTACAAACAGCTGAACCTGGAGTTGTGGAGTGTGACGTCTGTACTGGGAAGAAATACAAAGCCGTCAAGTCCTGTGTGGAGTGTCTGAACTCTTACTGTCAAAGTCATCTTGAACAGCATGAGAATCTCTTTAAAGACAGGAGACACAATCTGATGGATCCCATTAGACGACTCCATGAGATGATCTGACCAAAACACAACAAACAACTGGAAATCTACTGTCGTACTGACCAGCAATTCATTTGTTATCCATGTTTAATGGATGAACATAAAAACCACAACACTGTAACAGCTGAAGCAGAAAGGATGGAGAAACAGGTATGAACTGAATTTAGACACTGATGTGCTAATGCTAAATGTTAGTGGTAAGGTTAAATTAATAATGCATTATCCAACATCATCATTGTGAAAGTTGATGAGTATTACAATTTATTTACATACTGATTTGGTGTCTGAGATTTTACAGCCTTTTCGTTTTCTTACAGAGGCTTTTGGGAGAAACACAAAGAAAGTTCCAGCAGGGAATTCAGGAGGGACAGAATCAGCTCCAGGAGCTGAGAGACGCTGTGAAGTCCCATAGAAATTAATATCATGCAATATGTAGAAATATCAGAAAGCATATTAAATTACACATTTTATATGGAAATTGTAGTAATTATATCTGTATTTTTCTCCATAGTAACATGCATTGAAACAACTCCCACTAATGAACCCAAGACTAGGGAACAGTTCCAGTGTAAGGCATTAAAGCATACACATACACACACACACATGCTGGTACACCTATCATAATGAGGACTTTCCATAGACATAATAAATTATATAATGAGGTAATGATATTTTCTATCCTTTAACCTCACCCCCATCCCTAAATTAATAATCAGTTCTGGAGTTTGTTCTGCTCTTCCTCCAGTTACATATTCAGGCACAATAACATAAAGACTGAGCTCCCTGTGTCCTCCAGATCCTCTAGAATAGGAGTGTATGTGGATCACAGTGTGGGAATTCTGTCCTTCTATAGCGTCTCTGACACAATGAGCCTCATCCACAGAATCCAGACCACATTCACTGAGCCTCTCTATCCTGGGTTTGGGTTTGATGTTGATTCATCAGTGAAACTGTGTCATCTAATAATGTAGATGAGAGATTGTTCATGTGTTAGATCGGGAGAAAAAGTATCTTTTAGAGTCTTTTGTATATATAATTGAAATACAGTGTAAAGTTGAGTATTATTAATTATGTATTTTCTGGATGACATGGAAATTTACAGACACTAAAATCATATAATTAAAATAAATACCTCAATAAATTCATGCAGTTCATGCAGTTTGTGAAAGAAAGCATTTAAACCTTAATCTAAACTTCCAGTAGGGAGCACTGCATTCCCGTCTGTATGAACGATCTTAAAGGAACACGCCACTATTTTTGAAAATATGCTCATTTTCCAACTCCCCTAGAGTTAAACAGTTGAGTTTTACCGTTTTCGAATGATTAAAAATTAGAGTATAGTTCGCAACTATATAAAATCGCAACTTTTCATTTTCCGTCGGTCTTAGTACACGATGTAACTACAGAAGAGACAAGTTTTAAATAGGAAAAATTTAGAAACTCTTTGGTCATTTTTGAGCGAGATGCTAACGTTCTAATCAGATTCAATGATCTATGCTAAGCTACAGCTAAAAGTGCTACCGCCAGACTCGGAGATCGGCTGAATGGATTCGAAAACGGTAAAACTCAACTGTTTAACTCTAGGGGAGTTGGAAAATGAGCCTATTTTCAAAAATAGTGGAGTGTTCCTTTAAGTGAAGTGCCGCCTAATTAATGATTGATATATATATACTTTACATAATTTATAACATTATATTTAATTTATACTAAACTTTATACCAGTATCATTATGTTCACATTCCTCCCACATATTATATCACGATGATTATGTCTCTTGTTTACATGATTCAAGATTCGGTCATATAAGAAGTGTTCACTGTAGGCTATTTCAGTCTATCTGGGTCAGGTTGGTAGCACTTTATTTTGCAGTCCTGTTACGCATGTGCATACTATGTACTTATTATATTAATTACAATATCTGGGTAATAACTAGGTACTGAACCTACCCCTAAACCTAACCTTAACCCATGTAATAATTACCTTATATAAGCACACATCCACACGTAAGTGCACGCCAACTGTAAAATAAAGTGCAACCCAGAGGTTTATGAACAGGACTGATTTTATTTGTATTTAACGGTAATTAGAAAAAGCTATAAAAATGAGTAGCATAAGTAGCATAGTAGTTGAGGAAAAACACACACACACACACACAAATCCACCAGAATTTGTCCACTCTCATAATTTTTAATGCATGGTACACTCTAAAAAATGCTGGGTTAAATACAACCCAGTGCTGGGTAAAATAGGGACAAACCCAGCAAT